TATATATTTAATTAATTAAAAAGGTAAAACTTCCTAAACGAAAATTAGGCAATGTTTTAAAGTCAGTATTCCATTTTATATAAAAATGTAATTCTATAAAATTGTTCAGTATTTTGACTCACAAGGGGGGGAAATTTAAATTATTTCATGGATTACTTTTATTTTTCAACCTCTCGTTAGAATGCGATGTTCAAGTATTTAATTTGTTATTAAATACAATTGTCTGTAAAAATATGACTACCTTAAGACTTGTTAAACGTCTCGCGGCTTCTTTAAAGGGTTGCGGACAGAAAAAGATATGGATAGATCCAAACGAAATAGTTACTGTACAGGGGGCAAACTCTCGTGCAAGTATTCGTCGTCTTTTAAAAGATGGTCTTATTATTCAAAAACCTGTTTCGATTCATTCTCATTATCGTGCCAACAAGAAAAACAAAGCGAAACTGAAGGGCCGTTATAGAGGGCTTGGAAAGCGTAAGGGTACAGCGGAGGCACGCAATCCTAAAAAGATACTTTGGATGACCAGAATGAAAGTTTTGCGACGTCTTCTGAAAAAGTATCGTGACAGAAAAAAAATTGATCGTCATTTCTACAGCCGACTTTACAATAAGGTGAAAGGAAATACTTTTAAGAATCGGCGTGTTTTAATGGAATACATTTTTAAAAAGAAAGCTGACTTTGCAAGAGAAAAGATGCTTTACGATCAATCAGAAGCACACAGGCGAAGATTTCGTGAAGCAAAGAAACGAAGACAAGAAAGAATCATCTCGAAAAAGGCCGAAGTAAAACGCGAAAAAGAATAAACAACATTGTGTAAGTTTAATGATATTTATAAGTTAATTAATAAAAACAACTTAATTAAATCTTTAGTTGAACGTGCTTATTTTGAGATTGTAATTCTTTTGTGTAAGTGAGCAAAACAGGCTCAACTTCTTCTTCTAAAAACTCAGTAACCTGTTCTGCTGCTCTACCAGTAAATGTTCGTGCGTCTAATAATGAATCTAATTCACCTAAAATTGGGGCAAAGTATGCATCATTTTTCACTCTTGCAATTAAATCGTTATCGAAACCGTGCTGCTTAACTTGGGCTGCAGCTTCTTGCGACAAGACTCTAATTTTCTCGTGGCAAACTTGCCTGTCTCCTCCCTTTTTCACCATTGCCATTATAATATTTTCTGATGCCATAAAAGGTAATTCTTGTTTAATGTGGCGCTCAATAACTTTTGGATAAACCACGAGACCTTGGGAAATGTTCAAAAGAGTCAAAAGTACGGCATCGGCACTCAAAAAGGCTTCTGCAAGTGTAATTCTTCTATTAGCCGAGTCATCCAAGGTTCTTTCCAACCACTGGACTGCATGAGTTTGAGCTGCGTTGGAGAATAATGCTATCATATGACGAGCCAGAGCACAACAGCGCTCTGAACGCATGGGATTTCTTTTGTAGGGCATTGCAGAGCTACCAATTTGACTCTTTTCGAAAGGTTCCTCCAATTCTTTTCGGTTTGCTAGTAGTCTTAAATCGCTGCATAGTTTGTGTACTGTAGCTCCCAAACTACTAATTGCTGCAACAACTTCTAAATCAACTTTTCTTGAATATGTCTGACCAGTTACAAGATAAGTTTGATCAAAGCCTGATAGATGTGCAACACGTTTATCTAAAGCTTTGACCTTTTGGCTGTCCCCATTGAACAACTGCATGAAGGATGCTTGGGTTCCTGTTGTTCCCTTTGTTCCTCTAAAACGTAGATTGCTTCTTACATCTCGTAAAGCTCTTTCATCCATTATCAGGTCTTGAATCCAAAGAGTGGCACGTTTACCTACAGTTGTTAATTGAGCAGGTTGCAAATGAGTAAATCCTAATGTTGGTAAATCCTTATATTGGTCAGCAAAATTGGCAAAGTTTCTGATAACTGCGGCAAGACGAGGTAAAAGGATATTCAATCCATTTTTTATTATAATTAAGTCTGTGTTGTCTCCAACAAAACATGACGTAGCTCCAAGATGAATGATGGGTGCTGCTAGTGGACACTGCTGGGCGAAAACGTGCACATGGGCCATGACATCGTGTCTGGTTAAAGCTTCTTCTTTGGCTGCTGCATCAAAATCAATTTTATGAATGTTTGCTTCCATTTGACTTATTTGATCGTCAGTGATTTGCAGCCCTAATTCCTTTTCAGCTTTTGCTAAATTTACCCATAACTGTCTCCAGGTGGAAAACTTCTTTTGATCGCTAAAGTTGAATTGCATTTCCTGACTTGCATATCGTGTACTCAAGGGAGATCTGTAGTTGTTAAATTCACTGTTTGTGGAGTATTCTTTTAACTGGGACATTATTGAGACTTCTGGAGGGACAAGCGCGATTACACTATCACTTATTGACTACCACAAAGAAACACCACTAATACTGTTTACCGAGTTATATATACCATGTTATGATGTTACACAATATTTTCCTTGTTTATTCACTGCACCTAACCTTAAATTTCGTCATGATATAAAATATCTCAGATAACGATAACTTTTGAACCGTAACTTTTAACCTGTTATGAAATTTTATTTATTAGTACCAAGAGAATTTCAAAAATACCCCCAGTGGTGTAAACAAATACAAAAGATCATGATGTGCCACCACTGACCACCCAATGAAAGGCGTTTCTTGTCACGTGATCTGTACTTGTTAAGGTGTTATGAGGGAATCCCCTCCACAACTTCCTTTCAGAGATCTTAAGTGTTAAGCCCTTTGAGAAAACTACTTACTTATAAGAGAAAATATGTAGGCAGATCAAAATTTTTGCAGTTTCACTTGCATANTCAGTCATGAATATGTGCCACGCCTCCATACGTATAACTATAAGCCCAGAACGCTATATCACATTAAAATTCAGCCAAATTATGACGTAACAACAAATTTAACTTTAAAAATTAAAATAATTGTAATTTGTGTTTGACATCATTACTTTAAAAGATTGTATTTGAATAATAGGACTATTTAATCCAGTCAGAGTAACTAGCGGTCCTAATTGCATCATCTAAATACGTCCAAATAATAGCATTAACGACTTAAATGTGTCGATTTTGTTTACGTCAACGATAGCCAAACTACGCAAATTGACGAGCACACATGTAAACCTAATAGTACTACGTATACATAAATCGAGACTTGTGTTTGTCCATTTGTTTCATGCACACGTGCACAATATTTATTTACAATTAAAACGAATTAATAATACAGGCGGATGGACGGTTCAGGTTTTGAATGGACCATTTGGACTTGTTTGTATATAATTATTGCCTACCGTCATGGTGAAAGGTGGCGATCGAAGGTTAATATTTACAAAAAAGATGCATCCTGGTCAGGTCCACATGACCAACAACGGTTGAACGCAGTGGAACTTATACACGTGAGAATTTTTGCATACCACTCGTGATAGACACCAATAATATATGTTAATTATTATTGTAATCATGATTCGAATGCACTGATTTTTTTCATCATCTATAAGTATTGATTATTATGTATCAAAAAATCATACGCAATTAAATTACTCCCTACCATATTTCCTTGTAGTCTTGTATGCACCCACGTATGTGGTATAGCACTTTATTTGATTTTATAAAGTGGAGGCACATATAATACCTTCATAAATAAAAGGTAATTTCAAAGTACAAAAAGCAATTTTATACACATTAGGCTTAATTATACAATAAATATACTGTTACCGTTTACATAAAACTACACGAACATTAGCACATCCATATAATTATGCTTAATTTTGAACTTATGTTAACATTAACGAAACAAGAAACTGTAGATCGTGTAGATGTATAGAACGGAAAAAAAATGTGAAATACCTGGAAAAAGATTACCGTGAAACCGGAAACCCTTCACAGTTATAGATTCAAATAAGGAAAGAAAAGAAGACATTTATAGAATAAATTAATATAAATTGGACATGAATATGTGGCACACGACAACTTCAAAGAGGCGGAATTACAGAAGTGTAAAAGCAACTGTACGACGAGGATGGGCTATTGCATTTTAGAACAACGGCAATCAACATATTACTTCCGTAAAACTGTCCTAGATTTCTAACCTACCTGTAACCTGGTTACGAAGTCGGGACTTGGTTTTCTATCCTGAGTTCCGGGGACCGCCAGAAACACGTCGAATCTGGTGATTCCTTCACTTTCTCGTCCCTGGGCAACTTTTTCACTTAACTGAGCGGAATATAACACGGAAATTCGGTCGAAATTATCTTTGAGCAACTGTGTACACGAAGTTTTTATAATAACCGTGCCGACACTCGAAGAAGACATTTTATGTTATGCCCATCATTACATTCTAAAAATTACATTATACCAATTATTATTACTCGAATGGCATTCAAAATACTAAAATTAAAACCTTAACTGTTAGTTTATATATTTCCGACATGGCCCTCAACCTACAACAACACCTTAAGCAGACATTTTCAATTACTTGACTGCAGCGCCTCTTTTAATCATCAAGTACACTACTTTTTAGATTTTGTTTTTTTTATTAATTGCTATGCAACCATCAATACATCCCTGTGATTAGTTAAAGCTATATAAAATAAAAAAACCATTAACAAAAATACCTGACCATTTGATACAATTTAAAATACTTATGTTTTGAAAATAAACCATCTTTTTATATTATCATATATACTTCGAAAAATTTTTATATTTTTGAATTTCTCTGAATTATAAAACGGTAACTGATTTTTAAAAGATAAATCAGTATTTCACTTCAATAAAAATAAAGAAAATAAAGTTATTTTGTTTTTATTATACATAGAGTATTTACACACGTAATTATTTTTTCTTTTTCTTAAGCAATATCTCATTATCTATAGGTTCAATAATAGTTCCCATTTTAGTCATTACTGCTGGTAAGATGTTTTTCCTAAATGCAGTCTCCGGAATGAATGTATTTCCTACAGGAGCTCTAATGGAGGCTTCGAAATCTTTTACACTTTTAAAAGGAAACGGAAGTTCAGACACTAAATGGGGCTTAATAGATTTTTTGTTGTCCTTTATAATTAGATTTCCTTTTTTATGATCTTTTCGTGGTATATTTTTAGGGAATTTTGAAATGAAACGTTTTCTTTTTCGTGTAGAAACTTTAATTCCTACCCCACCCCACGAACCCCAACCAGGTAGAGTTAAATTTATATCTTTCGGTTTTTCTTTTTCTGTTTCCGCTTTCTTTTCTTCTGCAAAATCGTCGATAATTTTGTCATCTTGGAATGCCTCTGCTATTGCACTTTCTTGGTTTTCTTTTTCGACATTATCGTCATATCCAAGAAGATCGGGGATTCCAGTATTCAAAATGGAAGGTTTTGCATTCATAAATTTATTTGGATCGATGTCTTTTTGATTCAAATTATTTTTGGGGAGTTCTGAACTTTTTTTAGTATCTAGGCTTAAAATAGCATCTATAGAATTTTCTGGTATGTTATCTATACCCTGGAGTATATCCTGATTAGACTTCCTGGAAGTATCCTCAATCATTTTTTCATTTAATTTGGGATATTTAAGTTTCATTGGAAGTGCTAATAAATCTTTTGTAGCTTTTGGATTCTTCACTTTTGTATTGCTTTTCTTTTTAATATTTTTTGTATTCTTTTTGTCAACTAAACCCAGTTGCCTTTTTAGCTTTTTTGCTTTCTGTTCGAGGCTTTTTTCAAGTTTAGCTTGAATTATATAAGGCAAGTTATTAATAAGAGTGTCTGTATCCATGGCACTTACTTCCCAATCTGAAGTACTTAAAGATTTTTCTAATTTCTTGCAACTACCACGACTTATTTTTCTATTGTTAAGTTTTTTTAATGCAAAATTTAATTTACCATCTTTTGTTTTCTTGTTTTCTTTTTTATTTACTACTTTTTCAGAATCCTTTATTAGTTTATTATTACTTTTCTTAGCCACCTGTTTAACAACACAATTATTTGCTTCATTATCATTATTTTCAGTTTCAGTTTCCTTGTAATTGTTAACATTATTTTCATTAAAACATTTTTTTACTTTTGTATCTAACTTTTTACCGTTTTCATTTGTGTTTTTACTATCTATGGGATCAATTTTATTTGCATTTCCTTTTATCATGCCTTTTAATTCTCTATTTTCCTCTTTATTATCTCTAGACTCATTCTCGTGTTTATTCTGTTCATTCCAAAATTTTCGATATCCACTAATAAAATCTCCTACTTCCTGAGACACTGTAATTTTTCCGTTTGTCCATGGATTATTTTCATTTGTTTCCGAATTAATTTGAATATCGTGCTCCACTGTTTCCTGTTCTTCATCAGAATCAGTGTCAGCTGCTGACTTCACTTTCTGAGTCAACTCGCGACTTAATTGAAGTTGTTGCGCCAATGCCTGCCTACTCTAAATAACAAAAATTTATAATTAACTAGAAAAAATAAACATAACAAATTATTCACTTACTTCTTTGTCATATTTTGCTCTAATTTGTTTGTTTCGCGCCCACTTTCCAGTACTTTTATGACGCAACGTTACGCGTTCTTCAGCCCTTGCTTTCTCAATTTCTTTTAATTTTTTTAGGGCTTCTTCTGGATTTGTCTTTTGTAGTTCTTCAAATTCCTTAAACTCCTTTTTTAGACGTTCCTTTCTTTGTATTCTGTGAAACTTCTTGCTCTTAATTTTATTTTCCCTTTTATTTTTCGCAGCTTTG